ATGTTGTTCCCCCAGTTAGCGCTGTGTTTCACTCCAGCACTGCAGCATGCCAAGGACAGACAAATGGGCATGCGAGCAGGATGCTGTGTTAAAATGACCAGCTACAGGAAGGTCAGGGTCATGTTTGTGCATATACTGGAGGTGGTCTGCAAACAGTCACCAGTCTGCGTTTGGTTTCTCTGATGTAGAATAGGCCACTTTGGGTGCTGCTTCACCTGGAAGGACTGTTTAGGCCCTCAGACGGTAAGCAGGGATGAGGTGAAGGGATAGGTTATGTACCTTCTGCTGTTACATGGGAAGGTGCCATGAAAAGGTGGGGTATGGTGTTCCACATAGGAGACTGAAAAAGAAATTAAAAACTCATGGTAATCTGGCAAGTTAGATCCAAAATTTGCTAAGAGACAGAGGGTGGTGGTAGATATCAGTTTGTACGACTGGAGGCCAGCACACCACAAGCATAAGTGCTGGGTCCTTTATTGTTCATGATACGTATAAACAATGTAAATGAAACGTAGAAAGATGTTATGCAATATTTTGGGTGATATGAAGATTTGTCAGGTGGTTGACAATGAGGAAGATGGTTTTAGTTACAGGAGGATATAAACAGATTGGTCAGCTGAACTTAACCCTGATAAATGTGAGGTGATGCACTTTGGAAGAAGTATCAAGACAAGGAATGCAGGATACTACGAAGCTCAGAGAAACAGAGGTAACTTGAAGTGCTTCTTCAGAAATCCCTGAAGGTGGCAGGGCAGGTTAATTGTGTAGTTAAATGGCATATGAGACACATGCCTTTATCAGTCGAACCATAGATTATAAAAGCAAGGAGATTATGTTGGAGACATACAGGACTTTGGTTTAGCACAGATAGAATACTGTGTGCAGTATGGCCATGTAATTGTACTGAAGGGGGAGCAGAAGAGATTCACTGGGATGTTGTCTTGGATGGAATGCTTTAGCTACAAAGAGACGATCCATAATCTTGGGTTGTTTACTTTGGAGCAGAGAAAGTTGAGAGAGGATCTAAAAGAGGTGATAAGATTGTGAGGGGCATGGACATGGTGGATAGAAAGCAGCTGCTTCCTCTACTCAAGGTTAGGAACAAGGGGCTTAATTTTAAGCTGGGAGGCAGAAGGTTGAGAGGGGATTTGAGAAAAAATGTTTTCACCTAGATGGTGATGGGAATCTGGAATGCACTGCCCAGAAGGGTAGTTTAGGTGGGTAACCTTAAAACTTTTTAAAAGTACTTGGATGAGCACTTGAATTGTCCCAACATTCAAGGCTGTGACTATTGCTGCAAAGTTGGACTCATGTAGATTTAGCATAACTTGGCAGTACTGACCCAATGGACTGAAGGTCTTCTTCTGTACTGCATGATTCTATGATTTGAAAGACATGGTTTCCCTTTCACGAAGCCATGCTGACTCTACTTGCTGAAACTCATTATATATTGTATTATTTTTCTAAGTACTCCGCTATTGCATCCTTTATAATAGGCTGTAACATTGTCTAAGTGACAAATCTTATTTGGCCTTTAATTATCTTCTTATGCTTCTTTCCATTTTTGAATAAGTTTGTTTAAATGGCGGTTTTCTAGTCCTCTGGAACTCCTGCAGAAACTTCCAGAATCGAAGGTCAGAAATCACAAGACACGAGGTTATAGTCCAACAGGTTTATTTGGACTACAACTTTGTGTCATGTGATTTCTGACCTTGTCCAGCCCAGTCCAACACCAGCACCTCCATATCCAGAATTGAGAGAATATTACCAGTGAATCCATTGTACCTGCTGCTTCCTCCTTAAAATCCTAGGATGCAAGCCAATCAGGCCCAGGAGGCTTATCAGCCTTTAGTCCCATTAGTTTCCCTATCATTTTTCTCTCTTGTGATACTTATTCCATTTAGGTCCTTTTCTCTTTTTGCCACTTGATTATTTAGTAGTTCCAGAATATTATTATTGCGATGGTCTATGAAGACTGATGCAAAGTATTTATTAAACTCCTCTGCTATTTCCTGGTTCCTCAGTATTTGGGCGTTCTCGTTCACTGAAGTGCCTGTGCTCTGAATTCTTTTTCATATGTCTAAAGAGGTTCTTGTTGCCCATTTTGATATTATTTGCTAATTTACCCTCAATGTCTATTTCCTCTACTTATTATTGTTGATTTTTAAACTTATTCCCAATCTCTGGTTTACCACTAATCTTTGCCACACTGTATTCTTTTTTCTTTCATTGAGTCTTAGAAATAGGCCCTACAGCTCATCAAATCCGCATCAATCAGAAGCAACCAACTAACTTAATTCCATTTTCCAATGAAAGAACTGCAGATGCTGTAAATCAGGAATGAAAACAGAAGTTGCTGGAAAAGCTCAGCAGGTCTGGCAGCATTTGTGAAGAAAATATCAGAGTTAACATTTTGGGTCTGTTGACCCTTCCTCAGTTCTAAGTTGCAGTTCTGAGGAAGGGTCACCGGACCCGAAATGTTAACTCTGATATTTTCTTGATATTTTCTTCACAGACGCTGCCAGGCCTACTGAGCTTTTCCAGCAACTTCTGTTTTTGTTCCATTTTTGAACACTTGGCCCAGAACCTTGTATGCCCCTTGGCATTGCAAATGCATATCTAAATACTTATTAAATGTTATGAGGATACTGCCTGTGCCACTATAACGGCCAGTGAGTTCCACATTTCCACCAAACTCTGGGTGAAAAAGATTTTTCTCACATCTCTTCTAAAGTTTCTGCCCTTTACCTTAAATCTATGTCCCCTGGTCATTGATCATAGAACATAGAACATAGAACATTACAGCGCAGTACAGGCCCTTCGGCCCTCGATGTTGCGCCGACCTGTGAAACCAATCTGAAGCCTATCTAACTTAAACTATTCCATTATCATCCATATGTTTATCTAATGACCATTTAAATGCCCTTAAGGTTGGCGAGTCTACTATTTTTGCAGGCAGGGCATTCCACGCCCTTACTACACTCTGAGTAAAGAACCTACCTCTGACATCTGTCCTATATCTATCACCCCTCAATTTAAAGCTATGTCCCCTCATGCTAGCCATCACCATCCGAGGAAAAAGGCTCCCACTGTCCACCCTATCTAATCCTCTGATCATCTTGTATGTCTCTATCAAGTCACCTCTTAACCTTCTTCTCTCTAACGAAAACAGCCTCAAAACCCTCAGCCTTTCCTCATAAGACCTTCCCTCCATACCAGGCAACATCCTGGTAAATCTCCTCTGCACCCTTTCCAATGCTTCCACATCCTTCCTATAATGCGGTGACCAGAACTGTACGCAATACTCCAAGTGCGGCCGCACCAGAGTTTTGTACAGCTGCATCATGACGTCATGGCGCCGAAACTCAATCCCTCTACCAATAAAACCTAACATACTGTACGCCTTCTTAACAACGCTATCAACCTGGGTGGCAACTTTCAGTGATCTATGCACATGGACACCGAGATGTCTCTGCTCATCCACACTACCAAGAATCTTACCATTAGCCCAGTACTCTGTATTCCTGTTACTCCTTCCAAAGTGAATCACCTCACACTTTTCCGCATTAAACTCCATTTGCCACCTCTCAGCCCAGCTCTGCAGCTTAGCTATGTCCCTCTGTAACCTGCAACATCCTTCTGCACTATCCACAACTCCACCAACTTTGGTGTCATCCGCAAATTTACTAACCCATCCTTCTACGCCCTCATCCAGGTCATTTATAAAAATGACAAACATCAGTGGCCCCAAAACAGATCCTTGAGGTACACCACTAGTAACTGAACTCCAGGATGAACATTTCCCATCAACCACCACCCTCTGTCTTCTTACAGCTAGCCAATTTCTGATCCAAACCGCTAAATCACCCTCAATCCCATGCCTCCGTATTTTCTGCAATAGCCTACCATGGGGAACCTCATCAAACGCTTTACTGAAATCCATATAAACCACATCAACCGCTTTACCCTCATCCACCTGTTTGGTCACCTTCTCAAAGAACTCAATAAGGTTTGTGAGGCACGACCTACACTTCACAAAACCGTGTTGACTATCCCTAATCAAATTATTCCTTTCTGGATGATTATAAATCCTATCTCTTATAATCCTTTCCAACACTTTACCCACAACCGAAGTAAGGCTCTCTGGTCTATAATTACCAGGGCTGTCTCTACTCCCCTTCTTGAACAAAGGGACAACATTTGCTAGTCTCCAGTCTTCTGGCACTATTCCTGAAGACAATGACGACATAAAGATCAACGCCAAAGGCTCTGCAATCTCCTCTCTAGCTTCCCAGAGAATCCTAGGATAAATCCTATCCGGCCCAGGGGACTTATCTATTTTCACTCCTTCCAGAATTGCTAACACCTCCTCCTTATGAACCTCAATCCCGTCTAGTCTAATAGACTGATCCCTCCATCAAGGACAAAAGCTTCTTTCTGTCTATCCAATTTATGCCCCTCATAACTTTATGTATCGCAACAATTTTCATGTTATCCTTACATTTCTGATTAACCATAATTGGTTTATCCCCTTCCTAGAATCTTCTTCCTCACTGGGATATATCTTGGCTGTGAGTCATGAAGACCAACATACCATTTGCCTTCTTCACCACCAGCTGGGCCTGCACTCTAACCTTGAGTGATTGGTATACAAGGACACCCAGGCCTCATTCTGTTTCCTCAATATGTAGCCATTCATATCATAATGTGCCTTCCAGGTTTTGCTCCAAAGTGGATAGCCTCACATTTCTCCATATTTTACTGCATTTGCCATTCATTTTGCGAATTATTTTTAAAAACGTTCATTGTTCTTCAACCATTTTTTCTACAAATCACCCTTCCCTGTCCACTCCAACTAACTCAGCACCAATTCTTTCATAAAGACCTTTATTTAAGTTTATTGTAGCTGTTTCTGATCAATGTTTCTCACTTAAAATTTAATGTTAAATTCTACCATGATTGTGTATTAAGTACAATACTAACTGTCCTTCCCATTGCAGAACTTAACAGATGCCTTGGATAATATGTATAATGCCCGAGTCCCTGTGGTTTGGAAGAGGATTTCCTGGGATTCTTCTACATTGGGATTTTGGTTCACAGAATTCCTAGAGAGAAATGCACAGTTTTCTTCCTGGATATTTGAGGGAAGGCCAAATGTATTTTGGATGCCAGGATTCTTTAATCCCCAGGGTATGTACCAGTCATCTAAAGAACAGCATATTTTAACACTAGGCAGGAACCAGTGCTATCTCAATGTGCTTTGCATCATTTACTATTTGCAAATTACAATCATATGTCTGCTACTATTTTGAAAATATAACTTTCTTTAATGATCAAATCTCATCATCAGGAATCTACATTCAATAGTACATTTATACAATACATGACCATTAACAAAATGATTTGTTTCTTTGAAATAATTCTTAACAACAATGTATGTAGATACATATTATTGATGTTAGTGTGTAAAATTATGTTCCTTTTCCCAATTGGACTTTGATACACTCCTGCTTACAATTGGCTTTTTTTAAACTTCAAAAGATTAGAAAATAAATTATGTTATTATTGTTGTTTCTGTGATTTGGACAAGTTGGATGAGCTAGGCACATGGGAAAATGAATGGCAGATGCAGTAAAATGTGGAGAAATGTGAGGCTACCCACTTTGGAGCAAAAACTGGAAGGCACATTATGATATGAATTACTATAAATTGAGAAAGCAGTAAGTGTAACAAGACCTGGATGTCCTTGTATACCAATCACTCAAGGTTAGAGTGCAGATCCAGCTGGTGGTGAAGAAAGCAAATGGTATGTTGGCCTTCATAGCAAGTGGATTTGAGTACAGGAGCAGGAATGTCTTGCTGCACTTACACAAGGCATGGGTGAGACCACACCCGGAATATTATGTGCAGTTTTGGTCTCCTTATCTGAGGAGGGATGTTCTTGCTGTAGATGGTTACCAGACGGATGGTGGGACTGCCGTGTGAGGAGAAGTTGAATTGATTAGGATTATATTCACTAAATCTCTCCTGATGGTCTGGCCCTAATTCCTAGACTGTACCCCTAAGTTCTGGGATCCCCAACTAGTGCAAATAGTTTATCTCCCGTGTCTTTTGCTCCTAATGTCTTGAAGACTTCAATCAGATCACCCCTTAAACCTTCTAAATTCTGGAGACAACTGGCCTAACTTGTATAGTATCTCTTCATAATTTAACCCTCAGAGTCCAGGTATCATTGTTATAAACCTACATTGTACTTTCTCCAAGGCAATTATATACTATCCTGAGGTGTAGTGCCCACAACAGCTCACATTATTCCAAGTGGGGCTAAAGGGATTAAAGGATATGGGGAAAAAGCTGGAAGAGACTTTTGACCTGATCATAATGAATGGTGAAGCAGGCTTAAAGGCCGAATGGCCTACTTCTGCTGCTATGTTTTTCTAAGTTTCTATGAATCCAGGATTATTGGGAAAAAGCAGGAAACTGACTTGATGATCATCAGATCAGCCATCATCTTATAGACTATCAGAGCAGACTCAGTGGGCTGAATGGCCTTCTGGTCTTCTATCTATATATCTAGTAACCTTTCTCAGACTGTTTGCATATTTACATCCTTACATATAGTGGCTAGTACACTGTGCTCCAGGTTTCATCATTTCAAATAATCCACTGTTACATCTTCCACTCTCAGAAAAGTCTTAACAATGGTTAAGGCTATTTTGAAATTACAATCCATGTAATAGAACATAGAACATAGAACAGAGGACAGTACAGCCCCTTCGGCCCATGATGTTGTGCCGAACTTTTACCCTAATCCTAAGGTAATATTTCACAATATGCCACAACAGTTCTGAGGAAGGGTCACTGGACCCGAAACATTAACTCTGATGTTTTCTTCGCAGACGCTGCCAGACCTGATGAGCTTTTCCTGCTTTTACTTGAATACCTAAACACGCTTGTTAGTTTAAAAGAGTCACAGATGCCTCTTACCAAATTTCTATCCTGCCAAGGGCACCAGTTTTTTTTTATGATGGAACTATTGGACAAGAGATATTCCAGACTGAAACCTGGCTCAGTAGACCATAAGTTTTATTTTTGCAACCTAATTACTATAGTTGTCAGATGCTAGATATAATCACAAGATGTTACGAAGGTACTTCTAGCAATAAAAATCAAAGTCAATAACACACAAAGAAAGAAAAAGCAAAGCAATGAATTCTGTCATGGACAAAGAGCGAATGGCATCAATTTAAATTATGATTGCTTTTCCCTTCTGACACTTGAGACAGAGAAATATTATTTGATTTACTTCTTTCCCTTTTTATTCCATTCCATACTGACCTAGACCATTTGGTGTTCCCCAAAATGCATTTTTTTCAGTTTTAATCTCAGAAATAAGCTACACCAAAACCTATAAAATGAAATTAAATTAATGTTTCATTTAATGAAACATCGAAAACATGGGAGAATTGCTTCACTACTTCAATCACACAAACATGTGTCCAAAGTAGAAAGAAACAGGAGGAAAGGAAGGAAGTTGCAATTTATGAATTTATTTTTTAAAAAATCAAAGATGCGTGTATTAGTTAACATGACTTACAATTCAGCGAACCAGTGTCCAATTGGGAATCTGTCAGTTGGTTGATCTTATAGTAATTCTTTTCCTGGGAGCTGGGATGCAGATGGATGGCAGCCAAAGGAACAGCAGAACTTCTTGTATGTAAGGAATTTGTTCAGTGCAGTGAATGTAGTCTGAATTCTCTCTCCAGACGAGATGAATGAATGAGTGATTGAGTAAGTATGTGAGTAATGTTTGATGACCAGTGCAGACACAATGTGTTGAAGGGCCTCTTTCTGTGCTTTAAATCTATGACTAATCCTTCTTCCCAGAAAAAAAAGTCCTTTATTGACACACATCACTGTGCTACATCAGTCTGATTCCTCAGTCAAAAATTTCTTATATAACTGACAGAAGGACAGAAGAACAACAAATATTTGCAGATTCAAGTGGTTGTGAATTTGGAGGTGCTGTTTACAACTCCTTGGTGAATTTCTGCCATGCATCTTGTAGATTGTATACCTTACTGCTACTAAGCATTAATTATGAGTCTTCAGAATTCTTTGCCATAGAGAGCTGTGGGCACAGAATGATATCAAGAAACAGTTGGATATATAGCAAAGGCTATGGGTCCTGACAACATTGCAGAACTTACCACACCCCTAGCCATGCCTTTTAATACCATTACAGCACCGGCATCAGTGTTGTCACTCTCACCTCACCTCTGGAATTCAGCTCTTTTGTCCATATTTGAACTAAGCCTGTAATGAGTTGTGGAACTGAGTGGCCAAACTGGGCGTGAGTGAGCAGGTTGTGCTGAGGAGGTGCTACTTGGTAGCATTGTTGATGACATCACTTTGCTGATGATCGATAGTAGACTGATGAGTAGGGAATTGCTGGGGCGGATTTGTCCTGCTTTTTGTATACAGCACACACCTGGGTAATTTTCTACAGTTAGGTAGATGCCTGTGTTAACTGCACTACAACAGCTTAGCTATGGATGCGACAAGATCTGGAGCATAAGTTTTCAGTACTATTTCCACAATGCTATCAGGGCCCAAAGCCTTTGCAATATCTAGTGCCTCCAGCTGTTTTTTTGAAAACACATGAAGTGAATTGAATTAGCTAAAGGCTGGTATCTTGGTGATTTGGGGACCTCTGGACAATTCCCAAGTTGGAACACCCATTCAGCACTTCTGGCTGAAGGTTGTTGCAAAAGCTTCAGCCTTATTTAGAGTCATAGAGTCATACAGAATGGAAACAGACCCGACAGCCCAACTCGTCCATGCTGACCAGGTTTATCTTTCGCACTGATGTGCTAGTCTCTCCCATTATTGAGGATGGGGATACTTATGGAACCTCCATCTCCAGTAAGTTGTTTAATTGTCCACCATAATTCACAACTAGATGTAGTAGGACTACTGAGCTTGGATCTGATCTGTTGGTTGTGGGATCACTAAGCTCGGTCTATTGCTTGCTGCTTATGCTGGTTGGCATGCAAGTAGTCCTATTTTGTGTCTTCAAGGTAGAGGCAGAGGTGGATAGCTTCTGGTTAGAAAGAAAATAAAAAACTATTGGGGATGGTTGGGAGCATGGAATTTGGAACACACCAATCAGCTATGATTTTTCTGAACGGTGGAGCAGGTTTGAGGGGCCAAATAGCATACTTCTACTCCGATTTGAAATTACATATTGGAATGTCAGGAGAAATGTATCGAACATACATACATGAGAAAGGTATCAGTGGATATGTTTATGGGGTCAAATGAAGACAGGTGGCAGAAACTCGAGAACAACTTAAAAAGTGCAAATGCCATTTGTGCTGAATGGCTTCTATCTACATACTATAAATATTTTGCAATTCTTTGCTACTGAGTCAAATACAATTCAATTCTAATTTACCAAGTGGACTTTTTTTTTGCATAAAAATAAAATAAAAGAAACTGTTTATTTTGTACACAGGATTCTTAACCGCTATGAGACAGGAGGTCACACGTGCACATAAAGGCTGGGCGCTGGACAGTGTCACTCTACACAACGAAGTAACAAAACTGATGAAAGAGGAGATCAAAATACCACCCCCGGTTAGTATAAATGAATAATACCAATAGAAATAGACCAGGAATAGGCTGTTCAGCCCCTTGAGTCAGGATCCACCGTTCAATAGGGTCACGGTTAAGCTAATCTGGCATTTATCATCCACTTTCCAGCATTTTCCCCATAATGCATGATTCCTCTACTGAGTCTATCCATCTTAGCCTCAACTGCACACAAGGACTCTGCCACCAAAGCTCATTGTTTAACGGAGTTCAAAAGACTCTCAACTACACAGAAGAAATTCACCCTGATCTCTGTAATAAATTGGCACCCATTTATTCTGAAACTATGCTCTCTGGTCCTAAACTTCGTGTGGGAAACATCCTCTCAATATTTATCCTATCAAGCCGTTTAAGCATCGTATATGTTTCAATGAGATCATCTCTCATTCTTTGAACTTTCAGTGAGTAGAGTCCCCATCTGTTCAGCCTTTGCTCAGAAAACAATCCATCCATATCAGGTATCATCCTACTGAGCCGTCTATGAACTGCCTCCAACGAAATGATATATTTCCTTAAATAAGGGAACAAAACTGCTCACAGTACTCCAGATATGGTCTCACCAGCACCTTGTACATATGCAGTAAGACTTCCCTACTCTTATATTCCGCACCCCTTGAAATAAGGGCCAACATTCCATTAACCTTCCAGATTACTTGCTGCCCCTGTGTGCTAGTTTTCTGAGTCTGTTGCAGCTTTCTACAGTTTTTCTCTCTTTAAATAATACTCTGTTCTTTTCTTCTCCCTTCTAAATTAAACAACTTCACATTTTCCCACATTAGACTCTATTTCCAAACTTTTCCCCACTTACTTAACTTATCCATATCTTCCTGTAAACTGTTTATTCAATCTGACAACTTGCCTTTCCACCTATTTTTGTGTTGTCTACAAATTTGGCCACAGTACATTTGCTTCTTTCCTCCAGGTCATTAACATATATTGTAAACAGTTACAGTCCCAGCACTGATCTCTGCAGAAGCCCACCGGTTACGGGTCACCAATCTGAAAACGAATGCCTAGCCCCAGTGTTTCCTGCCCATTAGTCTACCCTCTATCCATGTCAATATACTATTTCCAACAATGTGAGTTGTTATTGTATGATTTAACCTTTTGTGAGGTACCTTGTCGAAACCCTTCCAGAAATTCAAATAAAACTCATCTAATTGTTCCTCTATACCTACTATGGTTGAGACTACCTTGAAAAACTCAAACAACTTAGCCAGACGTGATTTCCCTTTTCATGAAGTAATGCTGGCTCTGCTTTATAGATTATGATTTTCCAAATGTTCTGCTGACACTTCCTTAATAATTATTTGTAATACCTTTCCAACAATAGAGGTAGACCTATTGGCCCACAGTTACCCACTTTTTGCCTCCCTCCTTTATGAATAGAGTTCTAACATTCGCAGTTTTCCAATCCTCTAGAATTCTCCAGAATCTAATGCTTTTCAGAAAATTACGAGCAATGCATCCACAATCTCTGTAGCGACCTCTTTTAGGATCTTAGGATGCAAGCAATCAGGGCCAGAGGTCTTATCTGCCTTTAGCCCAAACAGGAACAAAAACAAAGTTGCTGGAAAAGCTCAGCATGTCTGGCAGCATCTGGGAAGGAAGAAACAGAGTTAATGTTTCAGGTCCGGTGACCCTTCCTCAGAACTGGGTCATCAGTTCTCAGAACTGAGGAAGGGTCACCGGACCCAAAACGTTAACTTTGTTTTTTCCTTTACTTTTCCTTTCCTTACCTGCTGAGCTTTTCCAGCAACTTTGTTTTTGTTCCTGATTTACAGCATTCGCAGTTCTTTCAGTTTTTAATTAGCCCAAACAACTTGTCTAATACTACTTCTCTCCTGACAGTGATGGTACTTGATTCCTTCTCCATATTAATTAAAATTAATGGTATGTTCAAAGTACCTTCCACCATAAAGACTGATTCAAAATATATCTTTAACTCTTCTGACATTTCCCATAACCATCTCCTCAGATTCATTTTCTAAGCAGACTGTTTTCACTTTGACCTGTATCTTCTGTTTTACATATTTAAAGAAAGTTTTGTGTTCTGTTTTTATGTTGCTCACTAGTTTGCTCTTGTAGTTTATTTTCTGTCTCTTTATTATCTTTTTAGACTTCCTTTGCTGGATTTTGAATTGATCCCAGTCTTCGGGCTATCATTGACATTTGCTTGCTAATATGCTTTATCTTTCAACCTTATAATTTCTTTACCTTCCTTGGTTAGCCATGGTTGGTTTAAACCTCCCTTTCTTTCCTAAAGACTGGGATTTATGTTTGCTGAGAGTCATGAATTACATCCTGCAATGTCTGTCACTGCTTGCTTACTGTCATTCTGCTGATCTATCTGTCCAGTTCGCTTTAGCCAACTCTGTCCTCATTTAATTGTAATTCCCTTTATTTAAGTTAAACGCATTTATGACCCAAGTTTCATGCTGTCAAACTGACTATTAAATTCTATCATGTTACTTCCTCTGGAGATCTTTTACTCCAAGGTCATTTATTAAACCTACCTTATTACCCATTACCAGATCCAAGGTATCCTGCTCCTTGGTTGGCTCCATGACATATCACTCTAGGAAACTATGCCTCATGCACTCCATGAATATGTTGACGTGGATATTGTTTCCAATTTGATTAACCCAATCAAAATGAAGATTAAGGTCACCCATAATTACTGTTCTATTCTTTTTACATGCTCCTATTATTTGCTTTTCCTTCAGAATGGTTACTGTCTGGGGTCTGTGTACTACTCCTACCAATGTTTTCTTTCCCTTACTGCTTTCTTTTATCTCTGTCCAGATGGACTATATCATCTGAGCCTAATTTGTCCCTCAATTCACTTCATCCCTTATTAATGATGCTACCCAACCACCTTTTCCATTCTTCCTGACTATCTGAAGTCAAATATCCCTGAATGTTCCCAGAATGATATTCTTTTACCTCAATTTGCATCTACCTTATTCTGAATGCTGTTTGCCTTAAAATACAAAGCATTTATGTTTGTTCTATTAACAACTTACTCTACACTTTTATGGTGTTTTGGTCCAATATGACAGGCACACATTCTGTCCTGTCCCTTTGTTTTCTTGGTAACAAGCAGCCCATCACTAATGTGGAATCCTACCTTCTCCTTTATCGCATTATTATCTAATTTTGCATGCAACTGAACTCATCCAAGTATTTAGTTTAGTGTCCTATCAGCAGCCCTAGTTATGTGATTTCCTAAGACTCTGGTCCCAGCATGATTTAGATGGAGCCTGTTGGAACAGTGTCTTTGTTCCTTAGTATTGCTGCCAGCGTACTGTGAATTCTAACTTATATCTCGCACAACAATTTTAGAGCCATGCATTCATCTCTTTAATCTTGTTGACCCTATCCCAATTAGCTCATGGCTCAGGTACTAATCTGGAGATATTATTACCTTTTTGGTCCAGCTTTTCAATTTGGCCCCTAGCTGCTTATATTCCTTCAGTAGAATCTCTTTCCTCATTCTACCTATATCATTGGTGCCTACGTGGACCATGACAACTGGATCTTTGCCCTCCCACTCCAAGTTCCACTGCAGCCCAGATGAGATATCCTGGGACACCAGGCAGGCAACACAGCCTTTGGCACTCTCAATCTTGACCAGAGAACAGTGTGTTTTCCCCTGACTATACTATCCCCGATTACAAATACATTTCTCTTTTCTTCCGCCTTTTGAATGGCTGCCTGTACCATGGTGCTATGGTCAGATTGCTCATCCTCCCTACAGCCCCTGCTCTCATCCACACAGGGGGTAAGAGTCTCAAACGTGTTATTCAAGCTCAAGGGCTGAGGCACTACCTCCTGGATCCCTCTACCTGCCTCGCATGTACTCACACCCTCCTGTTCCTGACCACGGACTGAATGTGGGGTAGTTAATCTAAGGGATGTGACTGCCTCCTGAAACACAGCATCCAGGTAACTCTTTCCCTCCCCGATGTGTCACGGTGTGTGAAGCTAAGACTCTAGCTCATCAACTGAACTGAAATTCCTTAAGCGACCAACACTTGCTACACTATGTCATCTCAAAGTATTTTGGCCAACTAGGAATTAAATTCAGAAAAAATAAATGAACTGATTGTATCCAAAATTTTGGTCCTAGCCAAAGTCACTCTCTACACTAACTGTTGGAACTGAGATGGTCAGTTTTAATTGGCTGAATTAGCTTCTTTGGAGGTGGTGTAGATATTGAATTTTTCTTTAGGAATGTAAATTTGCAATGATAAGGACTTTCGGTGAAAAGAGAAAAGAGAGAGCAAAGGTTTTTGCTCTTGGCAAGTTAGCTCCCTGCCTGTGTTCAAATCTAGTAATTTTTATTACATTCACAAATTTCTTGAAAGTATTGCTGACTTCAAGTCTCCAGGCAAGCAGCTCATTTTCTTTACAAATGCAACATTTTTGCCCTGCTACATCCAGTATACTTCGCTTTTCCATCAGCTAGAAGGCACAAGTCAGGTCAGGAGTACTGTCCTGAGAGTCAATAATTAAGCGGACAGCTTTGTCCCAGTTTAAAACCCAGCCAGCACCTTATGGCTGAGATAACAAGGTGTAGAGCTGGATGAACACAGCAGGCCAAGCAACATCAGAGGAGCAGGAAGGCTGACATTTCGGGCCTAGACACTTCTTCAGAAAATCTGATTGCTGCTTGGCCTGCTGTGTTCATCCAGCTCTACACCTTGTTACCTCAGATTCTCCAGCATCTGCAGTTCCTACTATCCCAGCACCTTATAGCTTTTCTCCATCAAGAGTGGGCAGTGTAGTAACATGCATGATCCACAATATTTAAAGTATTCTTTCCAAAAATGCCACGAAACAGATATACACGTTCACAATAGTTATACAGAATGAAATAGCTGGTCATAATGATAGGATTAATATGAGTTCAGAAGTTTGTCTCAGAGTCAGTATGACACCAAGGGTGATAACAGACTGGTTTATTCTCAGACTATTGCCAGGGAGAAGTGAAGAGCCAGGTAAGTAAGGATGGAGCTTGGAAAGAAGAGTTCAGCAGAATGTAGATAGAAACTGGATATAGTTATTGAGAAATTGGCATGCAACATTAAATGCATAATGAGCGTATCAATTTCATACTGTAACAGCCTGTTCTATATAGATTTTTTTTGTTGGTACACGAGATGTGAACATTTCTGGGAAGTCCAACATTTGTTGTCTCTTCATAATTGGCCTTGTGAAGGTGGTGATGAAGTGCCTTCTTCAGTCAGCAGTCCATGTGATGTAGATACACCCAATGGTGGTTTTCTGGCCCTAACCCAATTGCAAAAGTAAAGGAGTGTCAATATAGTTCCAATTCACGATACTTAGAGGGCAATTTGTAGGTGGTATTTTTGCAAAATAAGTGTAGCAGATGCATATCAAGATCATAGAGATCACATTTGGAGGGTACTGTTGAAGGATAATTGTCAAAGACTGCAGTGCATCTTTCAAATTGTGCACATTACTGCCACTGTTCATTTGTAATGGAGATAAGGAATAAGGTGATATTTGGGCAACTTTGTCCCAGCTACATTTGACTGTTTCGTATCTTGTACGAGCTACACTCATCCAGGCAAGTGGATAGTAGTCCTGACTTCTGCCCGATAGATGGTGAACAGGAATTGGGAAGCCAGAAGTTGAGCTACTCATCAAAAAATTCCTAGCGTCTGAACTGCTCTCATAGCAGCATTTATATGAATTGCTGTGTTCAGTTTCTGACTAATCATAAATCCCAGAATGCTGAGATGATTGTGAGATTAAGTGATGGCAATGCCATCGCATGTGATCGAAAATATGGAAGGATTCTCCCTTGTTGGAGATGGAATTCAACTGCCATTTGTGAAGCGCAAATATTATCCTTCACTTATCACCCAGGCCTTGAATATTGTCCAGGTTTTGCTGCATACAAGAACAGACTGCTTCAGGACCAGAGTTGCTAGTGTTAGTGAGCATTGTGCAATAATTAGTGAAAATCCAATCTTAAGAGTTATGGAGTCATAGAGTAATACAGCATTGGAACAGGCCCTTCAGCCCAAATTGCTGACCACGGTGACCATTCAGCTAGTTCCAATTGCTCGCATTTGGTCCATATCCTTCTAAAGCCTTCACATCTATGTATATATCCAAATGTCTTTTTTTAAACGTTGCTATTGTACCTGCCTCAACTATTTTCTCTGGCAGCCCATTCAATATACGCACCACTCTCTCCATAAAGTTGCCCCTCAGGTCCTTCTTAAATCTTCCACGTGACACCTTAAACCTATGCCCTTTAGTTTTCAATTCCCCATCCCTGAGAAAAGGATGATATGCATTCATCCTATCTATGCCCCTCATGATTTTATACATCTCAATAAGGTCACCCCTCAATCTCCTACATTCCAAGTAATAAAGTCTTCTCCTGGCCAACCTCTTCCCTATAACTCAGGCCGATCGGTCCTGGCAACATCATCATAAATCTTCTTTGCACACTTTCCAGTTTAACTATGTCTTTCCTATAACATGGTGACCAAAACTGTACACAATACTCCAAGTGCGGCCCCACCAATGACTTACACAACTGTAACATAATGTTCCAACTCCTATACTCAATGCCTAGACCAATGTAGGACAGCATGCTAAAGGCCTTCTTCACCACCCTGCTTACCTGTGATACTGCTTTCAACAACTATGTACTTGTACTACTAGGCTCCTCTGTTCATCACCACTCCTCAGGACCTTACCATTTACTGTAATAAGTCCTCCCTTGGTTTGACTTTCCAAAGTGCAACACCTCACACTTATTGGTAATGAATTGCATTTGCCAATCTTCAGCCCACTTCCCCATCTGATCAAGATCTCTCTGTAATTTTTGATAACCTTCTTCACCATCAATGATACCTCCTAATTTTGTATCATCTGCAAACTTACTAAGCATGCTTTGTACATTCACATCCAGATTATTTGTGTAAATAATAAATAGCAAAGTTCCCAGCACTGATCCCTGTGGCACACCACTAGTCACAGGCCTCCAATCCGAGAAACCACCTTCAACCATCACCCTCTGCTTCCGACCGTTGAACCAATTTTGAATCCAATTAGCTAACTCTTCCTGGATCCCATGCAACCTAACTTTCATGACTAAGCTGCCATGCAGGACCTTGTCAAAGGCCTTAGTAAAGTCCATATAGACAACATCCACTACCCTACCCTTACCTATCCTCTTGGTTACTTCTTCAAAAAACACTAAAAGATTTGTCAAACACAACTTCCCGTGCACAAATCCATGCTGACTATCCCTAATCAGAACTTGACTATCCAAATGTTGGTTGAGCCTGTCCCTCAATATCCTTTCCAATAACTTGCCTACCACTGATGTCAGGATCACTGGCCCACAGTTCCCTGGCTTATCTTTGCTACATTTCTTAAACAATGGAACAACATTAGCCATCCTCCAGTCTTCTGGAACTTCACCAGAGGCTAAAGATGAAGCAAAAATCTCTGCAAGGGCCTCTGCAATTTCTTCCCTAGCCTCCCACAATGTCTGAGGATGGACTTGGTCAAGCCCAGGGGATTTATCCACCTTAATGCAATCTAAGGCTGCAAACACCTCCTCTCTGTTAATCTGTTTCCCTTATTTCCTTAACATCCATGATTCTCTCATTTTTAATGAATATTTCTCCCCAATCTCCTGTGGCTCCACACTTAGTCAGCCATGCTGATATTTAAGGGGACCTATTTTCTCTGTAGCCATCCTTTTACTTAAAGTTTTTGAGAAGAATTGTAGTGTGGTATTCACTTCAGCCCGATAGCTTAAACCCAATGTATGCCTTCTTCTTTTTCCTGACCAGAGCCTCAATATCCCTCATCAGCCAGGGATTCCTAAACCTGCCAGCTTTTCCCCTTAACCCTAACAGGGACATACTGTCACTGGACTCTTGATATCAACTTTTGAAAGACTCCCATTTGCCAGTCATTCCTTTTCCTTCAAACAGACTCACCCAATCGAACTCTGCTAGATCCTGCCTAATGGCCCTAAAATTGGGCCTGCTCCAGTTTAGCACCTTAACCTGTAGACCTGTCCTATGTTTTTTCCATAACTATATTAAAACTAAAAGAGTTATGGTCACTGGAGCCAAAGTCCTCTCAGACTGACACTTCAGTCACTTACCTGACCTCATTTCCTAAGAGAAAGTCCAGTGTTACACCATCCCCAAGTAGGGCCCTCTACATATTGATTTAGGAAATTTTCTTGCACACATTTGACAAATTCCACCCTGTCCAGGCTTTTACACTCTGGGTGGCCCAGTCAATACAGGGGAAATTAAAATCTCCAAGCAATACCATGTTATTCCTACAGGCATCTACAATCTCTCTACACATCTGCTCCTCTAGTACCCCCTTGCTATTTAGGGGTCTATAGTACAGTTCCAACAGAATGACCATCCCCTTCTTGTTTCTAAGTTCTAACCATATGGCTTCATTTGATGACCCCTTAAGAATGTACTCTCTAAGCACTGTTGTTATGTCCTCCCTTATCAAAAGGGCAACTCCCCCTGCTCACTTACTTTTACTTCTGTCACGTCTGTAGCTTCTGTATCCTGGAACTTTGAGCTGCCAGTCCTGCCCTTCTCTCAGCTATGTTTCTGTTATGGCTATAATGTCCCAGTCCCCAGAGCCAATCCATACTCGGACCTCATCTGCCTTACCAGTCAGGCCTTGTGCTTTGAAATAAATGCACTTTAAACCAGAAGTCTTTTCCCTCCCTTTACTGTGCCCTAGCTATCATTATTATGTTGGTTGAAAGCATATTGATGAAACAGCTGATGTTGTGGGCAGAGGACACCTGAGGAATACCTAAAGAGATGTCCTAGAACTGAGATGATTGATTTTTAACAACCACACTATCTTCCTTCAACCAGCAGAAAAGATTTCTCTCTATTTCCCATTGACTGTACTTCTGCCAGGGCTTCTTGTTGGATAGTACTGAATAGATTTTTACAACAATCCAGTAGCTTCCTGGTTACTAACACTGAGGATTATTAAATGCTTTTATTAATTAATCTAATTTATAGTTTACCTGCTGTCATTGTTCTCGCACATTAGCCTCTGGAATATTACCAAATAACAGTAGCATGCTGTTATTACTGCACTCCAGGCAAGAAGAGAGTCACATGGCATAATTAAGATTGCAATAAACGATTGAATAATTTTTGTGAAAACTTGCATAAATGTGAGAAAAATGCAAGATGATCTGTTCAGAATGAGAGAGGAAAAGTTTGTTTTGTACTACTGCAGCAAAGACATAATTGGACAACGTATCACAACAAAATTGGGCAAATTACCTTCCTCTGATCTTTAAACATTAATGCTTTTATCTTTTTCCTACATTTTGTTAACATTCAGTCTCTGTCTGCTTGCCTGGCAGGAGGGAGTGTACATTTATGGCCTTTACCTCGACGGAGCAGGTTGGGACCGGAGAAATATCCGACTGACTGAATCAACTGCCAAGGTCCTCTTTACAATGCTACCCGTCATTTATATGTTTGCCATCAATTCCACTGCACCCAAGGATCCAAAACTGTATATCTGTCCAGTTTATAAGAAACCACAACGTACAGACCTGACATTCATTACTGCCCTCTGCCTGAAAACAATCCAGCCACCTGACCATTGGATCCTGAGAGGGGCAGCTCTGCTCTGTGATATCAAGTAGAACAGCAGATGCTCAGTTGGCGCAGAAAGTGTCTTAGACCAAGATGTTTTAACAGTAATGTGACTGAATTTAAATATCAAGGCACAAATCTAATCTACATCTACTTGTCAGAAGAAGAAAAAATGTTCATCAACACAAAAGCAATCCATTATTTCATTATTCAATAAATTAATTGATGCTTGAGATGGTATTGTTTATTCTCTTATTTCTCAACTCCACATTTAATTATTTCACTAACTGTAAGCGTCTCAACAAAATAAACATTGGCAAGGCCTTCAGGGTGAATACGCCTGGTCTTCACTGAAATAATGACATGAGCCAGCTCTGGATTACACTCAGTGCCATATGCTAGTAACAGTAGAAACAGCATGATATAGCAGAAGAATATGTGGCTGAGAAATGGTGCAACAGCGAGGGTTTCAGATTCCTGGGCATTGGGACCAGTTTTTGGGAAGTAGGACCATTTCAAACTGGGCAGGTTACACATGGTCTCAGAGATAGTAGGAACTGTAGATGCTGGAGAATCTGAGATAACAAGGTGTAGAGCTGGATGAACACAGCAGGCCAAGCAGCATCAGAGAAGCAGGAAGGCTGACGTTTTGGGCCTAGACCC